AAAAAATTTTTTTTTAAAAAAAAAAAAAAATATATATATATATATATATATATATATATATATATATATATATATATATATATATATTTGTTAAGAAAACTTTAAATCAGATGTAAAATATTTAAAACAGGAATGAGAGGGACTTGGTGTTAAACTTTAAAATGCTCTGTGTCAGTGAGGTTTTCTTTTTGGCAGTGGGGTTCCTATAACTCACAGGATTTACAGTGAAATAAACACCCACACACACCAACCCACACATACTGTTCAATGATAAACAAAGACAACAACAAAAATAAAGAAATTGAGAGAGTGCACACTCAAGAATTTAATGCAAACATTTTTCCTCAAAAGCTACTGAAATAAAGTGAAAACACACACAAGCACAATGTGTCAATTTTAACATATAATTCACACAAAAAGCAACAATCACTTCAAATACATTATTGCTTCTTTGTAACAAATAAAATAAATGACTGCAGTGACATTTCTGAGCAACATTCACATGATCTCTGTGTATGTGTGTGTGTGTGTGTGTGTGTGTTTGAATGTCCTGAACTCCACATGCTGCTTTTACGGTTTTCATAATTCATACAATTTTAGGTTAACATGTTTTTCTCTTGTAGTGATTTATTATGATTCTTTTTTCTCTCACAGTTAAAAAACAAACTTTTTTTAGCTGATTCTTAGACAACTTTTTCACAACAAATATCGCTGTGGGTTTAATTTAGATATTTATAAAACTAATTCTCTTCAGTTCTGGTAATAAAACATCTGTAGGGCAAAATGATGCTCATATTTAACAGAAGAAAAAATATTTTCTATGTGTGTGCATGTGTGTGTGTGTGTGTGTGTGTGTAGGCGTGTGTGTGTTTTTCCTTTGTTCCAACTTATCTTTACGTTTAAAGCGTTTCTTTCAATTATCCTGAATTGATCATTTCATTTAGCAGATGCAACAATGTCACATAAACTGAGTTTATTTCTGTTGTCTGCAGCCTCAACAATAAACTTCAAATGTAAATAAGGGTCGAGTTCATCAGAGAAAATCGTCAGATTTGATTTAGAATCAGTCGTTTTTCTCAGACGATGGGTTTTCTGTCAGGTTTCCTCTAACAGATCCAGGATTTGAGCTCTGAGCCTTCAGCTGTACAGTCGGCCATTTTCTGCCTCACTGCAGCGCTTCCTGAAACTCTCGACTGGATCGTCCATGAAGAAACAGAACAATGAAAGTTGCAAAACAAAAGGTAAACAGCTGAACAGTAACGCCCCAAAAAGAGCTTTTTTTATTCCTCCCGTTTGTTGTTGGCAGCAGCGCTAACGTGGCTAACAACAGAGGAGTGGCAACAAAATGGCTGACTGTGGTATTAATTCAAAACACACACACACACTCACACACACCATGCATGTGTCATTGTAGAGGGAGATAAATTAAAAGTACTTTAGGGGTTTGTCCCTCTTTTTTAAAAGATGAGATGAAGGAATATTACATTTAAACGCCTGTTTTCACATCATATTGTTTTATATTCTTTTCCTGTCTCATCTTCCTCTGTTTTTAATAAATAAATATCACACAGAGACA